TTCCTTATTTAGAGCCATTAGTAACAGTTCCGCTTACCTGTCATTAGGGCCATCTCGATTTCCTTAATGAGTGTAATTAGCGGTTAATGTTAAATCATGTTCATTTCCAGCAAAACCAGTTTAACTCGGCATTTGTTCCTGGAAAAGCGATCTCTTGTGTTAGGCGGGCGTTGTGTTTCGCGACTGGAATCAGAGCTTTTAATCGATTTTTTTTTTTTTTTTTTTTTTACTTTTTCTTTTTTTTTTTTACTTTTTTTCTTTTTTTTTTTTTTTTTTTTTTACTTTTTTGAAATTTTCTTCTTTTTGCTATTTTCTTTTTTGAAGACTTTTTCAGTTTTTTTTTATCACTGTTTGCCGTTCAAGTTTATCTTCATTTTACAAAAAAAAGAAGAAAAATCTTTTTGGTTAATATTTCTTCAAAAGCTTGTTTATTTTTTTATTTTTTATTTTTTTATTCACTTCTTTTTTTTAACTATTGTGTGGTGGGAAAAATACAAATATTGAAGTAAAGGTATTCCTGGTGTGATATTGTCATTGTTATCGTTATTATTGCTATCATTATGATTATCATTATCATCAGCATTGCTGTTATTGTTAACATTATTGATAACATGATTATTATAATTATCTTTATCATTATCATTATTATTATCATTATTCTTATCCTTATATCTTATTATCATCATAATCATCATCGTCATCATTATTACTTTTACTATTCCTCTCTCTCTCTTTGTACACACGCCGTGTCTAACCTATCCTACCAAATAACTGTTTTATTCCTATAATTTTTCTCATCAATCTCCATACATCAAGACCAGGGTGATAGATTCTATCCATTTACCTAATATAATTACGTAATTATTTCCCTAATTTCACGTTTAGTTCCACTTATATTGAGCAATTTTATTAATCAACCTAACCTAATACTTTCCAATTTTCTAATATACTCTGTTAATCAAACTATATATCTGTTTATCTTTATTATTGTTATCTTTATATTATCTATATCTATATTATATCTCTATCATCGTTATCCTTATCATTATTATCATTCTTATTATGATTATTCATATCCTTATCATATATATCTAACCCCTTTCATTTATTCGTCTATTTAATAATTCCTAGCTTAACCTAATCTAATATTTTTTATTCATTAATATTTTTTTTCATTCACTCAGCTTCAAATGTAATTAATTCCCATATTTCACGTCTATTCTCAACTCCCTAACCCATTTCTTCACCTATTTATAAAACTCTTATTCCACAAATATCCAAAATTATATCACTTGTTCCACCTATTCATATAATCCTTTCTCTCTCATTCCTATTTAGCCAATTTCATTCCTTCTTCTGGTTACTTATATCATTATAAGTAGCTCTAAACACCGAATTGATTCAACTTAGAAAACTATTTCATTTATAGACCTATCATTATCATTATATATATAGGCCTATATGACTTTTTATTATACACATATAGGCCTATATGACTTGTTTAAGCCAATCTCATCCATTCAAATTATTCATTGTATGTTAAGTAACTCTTTAATTCTACATCCATCTCTACATCCACCTAAGATATTCCACATCTGTTGCTTCCACTTAAGAGAGAGCGATGGGAAGGGTCTTATGTACTATTATAAGTAACTAGTCTTGTCAGTCCACTTGCAATTCCATATCCACTTGACTTACTCCGCATCTCTCGCTTCCACCTGCAACCTCCACATTCACCTAAGCAAAATCCACCTTTCGCTTCCACCTCCACCTTCCATCTTCCTCCAACTTCTACATCTACCTAATCATTTCCACCTCCACCATTCATCTAACCAACTCCACCTCCACCTAAGATGCTTCACCTCTCTCTTCCTCTCCTCCACCTCCAATCTCCACTTAACCACCTCCACATCTCTCCCCCTCTCCACCTAACCAATCTCCCTCTCCTCTCCAACCTCCGCCCCACCACCCTCTCCCTTCCCAGCCTCCACATCCACCTCCCTCTTCTCTCCAACCTCCATAAAAAAAAAAAAATCCCTCTCCCTCTCCATTTCTCTCTCCTCCACCTCTCCAACCCTTCACCTCCCACCTCCCTCTCCTTCTCCAACCCTCCACCTCTCCAACTAACCCCACTCACCTCCACCCAACCCCACTTCATCTCCACCAACCCCCTCCAACCTCCCTCTCTTCACTCCAACCCCACTCTCCTCCTCTCCACCTAACCCCCCTCACCCCACTCCATCTCTCAACCTCCACTCCACCCAACCCCCTCCCTCTCTCCACCCAACCCCCCTCCACCCTCCACCTCCCTAACCCCACTCACTCTCTCCTCTCACCCCCCTCCCTCTCTCCCCCTGCAGCCCGCGGTGAGGAGGGCCTGTTCTTCCAGCCGGAGAACCAGCTGACGACCGAGTCCCACGCCTCGGTCTGGCTCGGTCCCAGCAGCGAGACCCTTTCGGACGTGTCGGTCTGTGCGTGGATCAAGGTGCAGTACTTCCGGGAGAGCGCCTCCTACTTCTGCTCCTACGCCGTCACCGACCAGAGGAATAACGAGCTCAATTTTGGCATTAGTAAGTTGTTGGTTTTTATTTATTTGTTTATGTTTTTTTTTTTTTTTTTTTTTTTTGAGGGGGGGGAGGGTGGGGGAGGGGGGAGGGGAAGGATGGGTGTGTGTGTGTTTTTCGTTTTTTTCTTTTCTTCTTTTTTTCTTTTATTTGTTTACTTTTTTTGTTTTTTCTTCTTTTCTTTCAGTTTTTTTAAAGTTGTTTTTTTTTTTTCATTTTCTTCTTGTTTTCTTCCCTTCTTTTTTTCTTTAGTTTGTGCTGTGTTTTTCATTCTCTCTCATGTTCATTTTTCTTTTTTCTTTTTTTTACGTGGTTCTTTCTTTTCGCTTTCTTTTTTCTTTTTCTTTCATTTTCTTCAGGCTTCAGGTTTCCTCTTCCTCCTCTTTCTCTTCCCTCCTCGTCTCTCCCCCTCCTTCTCCTCCTCTTCCTTCGTCCTTTTTTTATTCTCAGATTCTTTTCCTCCTCTTCTTCCTTCTATACATCACCGCCTCCTTTTTTATCTTCGCTCTACCTGTTCCTCCTATTCTAGCTTATCCGCCTTTTCTTCCTCTTCTCTTCCTTTGCATCTACTATCTTCTCTTCTTCGTCTTCGTCTTCATCTAATCAGCCTCTTTCTCTTCCTCCTCCTCCTTCTCCACTTCCCCCTTCTCCCTTCTCCTCTACCTACCCTATCCTTTCCCTTCTCTTCCTTTCATCCTTTCGTCCCCACCACTTCCTTATTTCTTCTTCATCACCATCTTCCGCTTCAGTTCCCTCTTTCCGTTCTCCTTGTTCCCTCTTCCCTTTCTCCTTCAATTCCTTATTTCCGTTCTCCTTCAGTTCCCTCTTCCCTTTCTCCTTCAATTCCCTCTTTCCGTTCTCCTTCAAAATTCTCCTTCAAAAATTCCTCTTTCCGTTCTCCTTCAGTTCCCTCTTCCCGTTCTTGAAGGATTGGAATTTAACGACGTCTCACGCATGTCATTTAACCTATCGATCATTTGACTCAGAATCTTGTCCTTTTCTTTAAAATTCAAAACTTGATGACTTGGATAAGAAATAGGAAATCGACGAAAGAAGGAAAAGGATAGATAGATAGATAAGAAATTGCCCACAGAAGAAAAATGGATAAATAAATGAATGGGAAGATATGAATTAATAAGAAATCGCCAAAATAATAATAATAATAATAATAATAAATGCAAATCGCCAAAAGAAGAAAAAAAAAAAATAAAAAAAAAAATCGCCAAAAGAAGAAGTATAGATAAATCAATAAATAACAAATCGCTAAAAGAAGAAGAGGAATAGATAGATAAATAAATGAGAAATAGCCAGGAGAAAATAAAAGAAAGGACAGGACTGAAGGAATATATCAAAAATATATTGTTTCATTCCTATCACTCCCCAACCACGTGGCCGATGGCAATAACCGGAAACACGATTTGATTAATACATGCCAATAAATAAGTAGATTATCGTACCTCACTCTGTCAGTGTCCATGGCCTTGTCATTCACATATACGTAATTATTTTCATAATGTGTTGTTATCTGTAAATATTTTTTTTTTTTTTTTTTGGCTGATTGGGTTTTCGAGGAAAATTGTAACTTGCGGTCATAAAGCCTTTTTTTGCGTGTCGTGTGGATTTATTTTATTTGTTTATTTTCCAATCGATTTGTTTTTGTGTGTGTGTTCTTCTAATGATTAGTTTCTGAGGCATTATCGTTATTGCTTGTATGTCTTATCATTCCTGTTATGGATACTTACAAAAAAAAATAGTAACAATAAGAATGATATTGAAAGAAAAAAGAATAAAAAAAAAAAAAAAAAAAACAGGTTCCCAAGGATTTCATTCAATAACATTCAAACATTTTAATAAACTCATTTTTTAATTCTTTATGAGCACGGATAGACTAACCTGAAACAGACACATGAACGTATTATATAACCTGAATGACTAGGGTCAAAAGGTTAATAATAAATGATCACGGATGTTGTCCATTTACAATCAGCTTTGTCCTTGAGATTCCCTTGTGTACGTTTTTTTAGGTGTGTGCGTAATTTGGGCGTGTGCGTTTATGTACGTTTATGTACGTCTGGAGTTTAGGAAGACCAACTGAAGGATGCTTTAGTAGTTATGAGTATATTAGTTATATATATATATATATATATATATATATATATATATATATATATATATATATATATATATATATATATATATATTATTAGTTAGGTATGAGGAAAATTATTGGCAGATTTTATTAAGATGGATAAAGGTGGATATAAGATTATTAAAAAACAAACAACAAAACAGGCTTATTTGACAAGATGACAGTGAATAGATGAACAGATTTTCGAGACGGAAATCGCGATGACCTCACAGTCGAAATAAAAAAAATCCTTCTTTAAAAGTGCTTAGACGAAGCAAATACAGCTGACATGTTATCCAAAAGTGTCGAGTCATGGCGAAGGGTCCCTGGGCAACCTCCATTATGGCCATTATGCTACACCCTGGGGCTAAGCCTCTACCCTGGGGGAGGGGGGGGGATGCTGAGAAATATACTGTAAATAACAATGAAGGAAATATATCTTGTTTAAGTATAGGTATTCTTTGAGCATATCTTATTTAATTATGGGTATATTTTAACTGTAAGTACATTTTAAGTATGATTTGAGTGCAAGTATATTTTCAGTATAAGTATATTTTAAGTATGATTTAAGTAAGTATAATAAGTATATTTTAAGTAAAAGTATATTTTAAGTATGATTTAAGAACAAGTATATTTTCAATATGATTTAAGAACAAGTATATTTTCAGTATAGTTTATTGATGTGGATAATAGATTGGATAACCGAGTAAACCATTAGCGTTTAAATACTTTTTTGATGTGAAAAATATCTATGTTTAAGAGTATAAAAGACTATGATCATATGCTTAACAACATAAATAAAAATAACAGATTTTAAAGCTTCATTTTTTTCTCTTCTTTATCCCAGAAACATGTTTTTTCTTCATTGTAACGGTTTATATTTCCCTTGTAGGCCTATGTCTGACGTAAGGAATAACGGATTATATTTTAAAAGAATTAACACTTCGTCAGGTGTTTGCATGCGTATAGATTGTTAACCTTGAGGATCTGCAAATTGTAGTTTTTGCAGAGGTAACTGTTGCATGTTGTCTTTGAAGTTATGATCGTAGAAATTAATGACAATGCGTATCTATTTGATCATATTGGTAAAAAAAAGGACAATTTAATTCATATTTAGAGTTTTCCTTGTCACAGCAACTAAGAAAAAATGCAGAGAGTACTTGTGGACAAGAAAAATGCTGAAACTTGTCAGACAGCACCTGGATGTGTGTGTGTGTGTGTGTGTGTGTGTGTGTGTGGTGTGTGTGTGTGTGTGTGTGTGTGTGTGTGTGTGTGTGTGTGTGTGTGTGTGTGTGTGTGTGTGTATGTGTACGTGTGCCTGAACGTAAACGTGTACCTGTCCGTGTGCGTGTATGTAAAGCATACTGCATAGCCATGCAATCCCGCTGACCATGAGGCCGCGTTCATACCACGAGGGGACAGCGCCTCGTGCGAACCCAAACCATACTTGTGAACGCACGATTCTAAATATAACCCACGCCTGCCTCGGGTGTCCACCAGGCCTATGAGAGGTCACCGGACTTTGACCTCAAGTCTCACTCGTCCTCACTCGCTCACCACGCTCCCTCTGGCTCTTGGGTCGCTGGCCTCAAGTTCCACTCAGCACCGCCAGTTATATCCTATTCTTATCGTGTGCTCTTGAGAAATAAAGTGTTAACCCACATCAGTGCATCTACCAGCCACCAGAATTCAGAATAGGAGGTCCAGCACCTCTTACAGTATGTGTGCTTGTGGACATGTGTATGTTTGACCTTGCATGCACGTGCGTTTCTGTATGCATGTACGTGTATAAGAATACGTGTATGTACCCCCACGTATCAAAGAGCACAGCCTTGCATGTACGTGCGTTTCTGTATGCATGTACGTGTATAAGAATACGTGTATGTACCCCACTATCAAAGAGCACAGCCTTGCATGTACGTGCGTTTCTGTATGCATGTACGTGTATAAGAATACGTGTATGTACCCGCCCGTATCAAAGAGCACAGCCTTGCATGTACGTGCGTTTCTGTATGCATGTACGTGTATAAGAATACGTGCATGTACCCCCACGTATCAAAGACCACAGCTAACGTTCCCACACTTTCCAGAGAGCACCAGGATGTTCATAGCCATCGGAGGCAGGTACCTCTACGCAGACGGGACGAGGCTGTACCCGGACGAGTGGTACCACGTGTGCTTCGTGGCCAACAGCGAGAACTCCACGGGGACATTTTACCTCAATGGGTAAGCAAAAGAGAAAGACAGATCAATTAAATGAATAAGTCAAAAAGAGAAAGACAGATCAATTAAATGAATAAGTCAAAAAGAGAAAGAGAGAGAATAAAATGAATAAGTCAAAAGAGAAAGACAGATGAATAAAATGAATAATCAATAACAAAGAGAGAAGACAGATGAATTAAATGAATAAGTCAAAAAGAGAAAGACAGATGAATTAAATGAATAGGTCAAAAAGAAAAAGATAGATGAATATAATTAATAAATAGGTGAATGATACCTCAATGGGTAAGCCAAAAGGAAAAAGGTAGATGAATAAAACGAATGAATTGATGAATAACACCGCAATGAGTAAGCCAAAAGGAAAAAGATAGATGAATAAAATGAATTAATGAATAGCACCTCAATGGATAAGCAAAAAAGGAAAAGATAGATGAATAAAATGTATAGATGAATAGCATCTGAATGGGTAAGCCATAAAGAAATATGGATTTATCATTGAATGAATAGGTGAACAGGCCAATGGTCTAAATGGCTAAATAGATGGATATGTCGATGATCAAATAGATAAAGGAATGAATGATTAAACAAAGAGATTAATGGTTAAATGAATACATGAATGAATACAGACATAGATAGAATAAATAGGGAATAAGCAAAGAGATGAAGTGAGTACATAGATGAATACCTAAGCATATTTAGATAGATAGTTGAAGAATAAGTAAAAATACGTACGTAAATAGATAAATAACAAATAATAAAGATAAGAGGAAGAATGAGAAATGATGAGCGACGAAAAAAAAGAAAAAAAAGTATATACATATTATATAATAATAGTAAAAAAATGACAGTCATTGTATTTGTGTGTGAGGGAGAGTGTGTGTGCATGCATGTTTGTACGCGTACATGTGTATGAAACAAATGGAAATATACACCTAGAATAAGTAAAGGATGAGGATGAAGATGAAGAGAGAAGGAGAAGTAGAAGCGGAACAAGAAGAAAGGAGAATGAAGAAAAGACCAGAACGAAGAAGAAGAAAGAAAGAAAGAAAGAACAAAAAAAAAAAAAAAAAAAAAAAATCAGAACAAAAAAATAATATAATATCTACAATACCAACACAATAATACCACAACAATACCAACCCAAAAAATAACAAAGACAAAAAAAAAAACAAAAAACAGTAACCAATTAACCAGACAAATAACAATAATACTAACCCACCTTCCCTTTCTCCACCAGCAAGAGGAACGGCGTGAAGAACCTGCCTCGCCAGTGCCTCCTCCTCAACGGGTCACTCGTGCTGGGTCAGGAGTCAGACAAGGTCGCCGGGGGATTCCAGGCTCTGCAGTCCTTCAGTGGCATCATTTCGGGGTTCAAGTGTGTAGGATGTCGTCTGTAGGATTGTTTTTTGTTTGGGGGTGTGTGTTTTTTTTTCTCGTTTTTTCCTGGTTGTGGGTATGGTGGGGAGATTTTTTTTTGTATTTATTTTATTTTATTTATTTTATTGTTTGTTTGTTTATTTATTTATTTATTTATTTATTTATTTATTTATTTTTTATTTATTTATTTATTTATTATTTATTTATTTTTTTTTATTTATTTATTTATTTTTATTTGTTTATTTATTCGAGGGGTGTTTCTGGTTGTGGTTAAGGGGGATTTTATTTCATTTTTTTGTATTTCTTTTTGTGGGATTTTGTGTTTTTTTGTATATGTTGGTGATTAGGAATGAAGAGAGGGAGAGAGAAAAGGGAGGGTGAGGGAAGGAGGAGGAGGAGGAGGAGGAGGAGGAGGAGGAGGAGGAGGAGGAGGAGGAGGAGGAGGGAGGTAAGGAGAGGAGAGAAAGCGGAATTGGGAGACGAAGGGAAGTGGAGGGGAAAGGGGGAGAGAGAAAGAGAGAGAGAGCGAGAGATGAGCAGAGTGAAAGGGGGGAGGGGTTGTTAGAAGTAGCAAGAACAAAGCAGGAAAGGGAAAGAAGAGAGAGAGAAGGATAAAAGTATGAGTGCACACACACACACACACACACACACACACAGACACACACACACACACACACACACACACACACACACACACACACACACACACAGTATACACTATGAGAGATCGAGAGAGAGAATGAGAGAAAGAGAAATTGAGAGAGAATTTTATTTCACTCAAAAAAAAAACAGTGCATAACTCGCCATCCTTCCTCCTTCCAGCCTATACTCCCGAAGCCTCCAGGAATCGGAGGTCAAGGAACTGTCCGAGTGCTCGAAGCAGGTTCCCGAGGGTGACGTGGTCAGCTGGTCCTCGACTGAGTGGGAGGTTGAAGGCCCAGTGGTAAAGGTGAACCTCACCCGGGAGGATCTCTGTCCCAAGAGGAGGTTGGTGCCCGGAGTCTGAAGGTTCAAGTGTGGTTTTCGAATCTGAAATTGTTGCTATTCTTTGATATTACTATGATTATTGGTATTTTTGTTATTATTATTGTAATGATTATTATTTCTGTTGTTACGGTTATCGTTACTGATACAATTATTATCATGGAAATCGACTTTTCACTGTTATTATCATCATTATTATCATTCTAACTACAAAAATGAAAATATTGTGTGAAGAGGCGCTTACAAAAGAGGAATACCTGCATTAATAAAAGATTTAGTCAAACAGGAAGGAAAAAAAACAAAACACCAGTAATTCCTAATGTATATCACCCCTCCCCCTTCTCCATGAAAACAGATTTAGATTCACCGTCTTCCCGAAACGCTACGAAGAAAAGGCAGCGAAGAGCCTCTGCAGAAATCTTAAGTCTACCCTGGCGACGCCCAGAACCCCCGAAGAAAACGGAGTGCTGTTCAAAAAGGCCGCCCATTTTGCGTCTGTCTGTCAGCCTCCAAACCACGCCACAGGGTTCTTCTGGGTGGGAACCAAGAGGGAGAAAGACGAATGGGTGGATGCGGAGGTAAGATGAAGATGGGGAAGAGGTGGGGAATGGGGAAGGGGAGGGAGAGGGAGAAGAGATAGAGGGGAAAGGGGGAGGAAGGAAGGAGGGAGAGAAGGGAGGGGAAGAAGGAGAGAGAAGAAGGGGAGAGAGAGAGAGAGAGAGAGAGAGAGAGAGAGAGAGAAGAGAGAGAGAAGAGAGAGAAGAGAGAGAAGAGAGATAAGAGATAGAAGAGGGAAAGACAGAAAACGATAAATATTTGTAATATATCCATAATACTCATAAACACGACCATTTTTCCCCAAATCACCTACAAGAACAAAAACCATAACTACCCCCTTCCCCCCCCCCCCAATCCCACAGGGCGCGCCCATGAACTACACAAACTTCGGCGACTGGAGTATGGGCGGCTACAGGTGCGCGAGCTTCCTCCTGCCGCGCTACAGAGGCAAGTGGACCGACGTGCCCTGCGGGAGGTATGGCTTCTGCGCCGCGTGCGAGGAGGCCCGTCCGGTGGCGCTGAGGATGAGGGGCTTCTGCAGCGACGACTACAAGGACACCCTCTTCAGGCTCGATACGGATCCCGCGACGAATCTGCCGGCTTTTAGGTGGGTGTGGGTTGGTTGGGGTGTTTGTTAGTGTGTGGAGGGGAGGGAGTGGAGTGTGGGTGTTGTCTGTGTGTGTGTGTGGGTGTTTGTGGGTGGGTGGTGTGTGTGTGGGGGAGGATTGCTGTGTGGTGTGTGGGGGGGGGGAGTGGGTGTGTGGTGTGTTGGTGTTTGTTTGTGTGTGGGGGAGGGAGTGGGGTGTGTGGGAGGGTGTTTGTGTGGGGGAGGGGGGGTTGTGTGTGTGTGTAGGTGTGTTTGTATGTGTGGGTGGGTGTAGGTGTGCGTGTGTGTATGTGTGGGTGTTGTAGATGTATGGGTGTATGAAGTGTAGGGGTGTAAGTATGTGAGGTGTGGATGTGTGGGCGTGTGGTGTGGTGTATGTGTGTGGATGGGTGTGTCTCAGGCTGGATGATTATTTTATTATTTTTGTAATACACATGACGCACTCTTCACACACACACACACATACACACACACACACACACACAACACACAACCCTGCACACACACTGACAGCACACACACACCTGCACACAAAATACACCTCAACACACACATAAAACCTCCAACACAACCTCCAACAGACCTCCAACCCCCACCCCCCACCCCCTAAAACCTCCAACCCCCCCCCCCCTAAAACCCAACACCCCCCCTCCCCCTCTAAAACCCCCAACACCAACCCCCTTCCTTCCTCCTCCCTCCCCCGCAGAGGCTTCACGAAGTACCAGATCAAGTACGGCGAGGACAGGAAGTGGCACCTCCTCAACATGTGGACGGAGGAGACGGTGGCTACGCTCTTCTCCTTCGACGCGTCCTTGCCTCTAGGACTCAAGGACTGGAGGATCACCACGAGTTCGGAGATCTGCGGCAGACAGGAGGGTGGGTGGGAGTCTTTTTTTTTTTTTTTTTTTGGATTTTGATTTTTTTTTTTTGTAGTGATTTTTTTTATGGTGGTTTTGGTGATGTGTAGTGTGTTTTTTTTTTTTTTTTTTTGTGTTTCGTTTGTTTGTTGTTGGTCTCTGTGTCTGTCTGTGTCTGGCTGTGTGTCTGTCTTTCTCTTCTCTCTCTTTTTTCTTCTTTCTTTCCACTCTCACTTTCTTTTCTTCAATTTCTCTGACTCACTCATCTCTCTCTCTTCTCTCTCTCTCTCTCTCTCTCTCTCTCTCTCTCTCTCTCTCTCTCTCTCTCTCTCTCTCTCTCTCTCTCTCTCTCTCTCGTATATATATATATATATATATATATATATATATATATATATATATATATATGTATGTGTGTGTGTGTGTGTGTGTGTGTGTGTGTGTGTGTGTGTGTGTGTGTTGTGTGTGTGTGTGTACACTTACCCATACATACATATGAGCTTCTTACCAAACGCTTCACAAACGTTCCACCCCCCCCCCCCCCCCCCCCCAGGCTCCACCCACCGCCTCGCCCTCACCGCCTGCCGCGACAACGAGTACAGCTGCGGCGACGGCACCTGCATCAGCGTCGAGAGCCGCTGCGACCTGCGGGTGGACTGCCCGGACAACAGCGACGAGACCAGCTGCGACAAGCTGGTTCCTCCGCAGGACTATTTGCTCCAGCTGCCTCCGCCGGGGGTCGAACCGGGGCCTCTGGGGCTGAACCTGTCCATCGTTATCAGAGGCTTCTCAGAGGTCTGTTTGTTGTTTGTTTGTTTGTTGGTTTGTTGGTCCTGGATGTTGCTGTGGATTTTTTGGATTTTTTTTGGTCATGAGGATAATTAAGTTCGTGTTATTAGTATCTTTTAATTCGTTTTTTTTTCTTCACTTTCTCGAATCGCGCTCTCGGATTTAAGAAAGAAATATCTCATTATCATGATTCTATCACCTTATCATTATTATACACTATCAGACATTTTTATCTTATCATTATCATTATTTTGTTATCATTCTCATATTCTCATTATTATGTTCTTAGTATTAATTCATTTTTTAAATTTTTTATTTGATTCATTCATTTTTCTTTTTGCCATTTCCTTTTTATTATTTCTCTCTTCACTTGCATTTTAACATTTTTATTTCATTCATTCATTTCCTTTTTGTTTATTTATTCATTCATTTCTTATAATTTTTCTTTCATTCATTTCCTTTTTATTTTTTCCATTCATTCGCATTTTAATTTTTATTTCATTCATTCATTTCCTATTTGTTTATTCATTCATTTCTTATAATTTTTCCATTCATTCATTTCCTTCTTTTTTTAATTCATTTCCTTTCTTATATTTTTTTTCCTTCATTCATTTCCTTTCTAATTTTTTTCCCATTCACTCGCACTCATTTTAAAAGTCCCGCCCCCTTTCCCTCGGCCAGGTGGACATCCGGGACATGGACCTGAGCGTCGACTTCGCCACGACGATCACCTGGATCGACCAGCGCCTCAAGTACAAGAACCTCAAGATGCTTCCGGAATTCAACTACATTGATGTAGGTTCTTTTTTTTTGGTGGTTTTGGGTGATTTGTGGTGCTTGGTGATTGTTTGCATGCACCAGACAGGCACGCAAGCAGGCAGGCACACGCACACGCACACGCACACGCACACGCACACGCACACGCACACGCACACGCACACGCACACGCAACACGCACACGCCACGCACACGCACACGCACACACACACACACACACACACACACACACACACACACACACACACACACACACACACACACACACACACACACACACACACACACACACACATACACACACACACACACACACACACACACACAACACACAACACACACACACACACACACACACACACACACCAACAACACACACACACACACCACACCCGCTCATCTATCTATCTATCTACACACACACACGCTCCATTTCTTCATTGCCATCTCGCTCTATAAGTCTATCATGACAAAACAGAGAAAAAAAGAAAAAAAAGAAAAGAAAAACACTATATTACTGTCGTTTATTGCTTTATTGCCTTTAATTAATCTTCCTAATAGACTGGAGTGCAGTAAGGGTCGAATTCCGCTGTGTCTGCTCACTTTTTCTGGCCAAAGGAAGTGTTTTTCGGTGTCTCAGGCCGTAGTGTTATTTTGGTGTATTTTAGCATCGTTGGGTTTATTGTGTGGGCGTTTGAGTTAGAGGTGTGGGTGTATAGGACGAGGCTGATTGTGTGAGGGAAATATATTGTTATTATGGTGGTATATGTTTTTTAAAGTATTTTGATTGTTATTTTGTGTTTTGATTTGCATTTTTTCTTCTGTCCCCCCCCTCTCTCTTCTGTCTCTCCTCTCTTTCTCGTCTCTCTCCTCTCTCTCTCTCTCTCTCCTCTCTCTCTCCTCTCTCCTCTCGCTTCTCTCTCTCTCTCTCTGGTCCTCTCTCTCTCTCTCTCTCTCTCAGCTCTCTCTCTCTCTCTCTCTCCTCTCTCTCTCTCTCTCCTCTCTCTCCTCTCTCCTCTCTCTCTCTCTCTCTCTCTCTCTCTCTCTCTCTCTCTCTCTCTCTTCTCTCTCTCTCTCTCTCGCCCCCTCCCCCTCCCTTCCTCCCTCCCTCCCACCCTGCCTCTCTTCCTCCACTCCCCTCCTATTCTCCTTCACTTTCCTCCGCCCTTCCACCACTCTCCTTCCCCTCCCCTCCATCTTTCTCTCCCTCTCTCCTCCACCTCCACCTTCCCTCCATTCCACCCTTCCTCCACCTCCCTTCCTACTCTCCTCCTCCACCTTTCCCTCCCTCTCTCCTTCCCTCCACCCTTCCTCACCTCCCTTCCTACTCTCCTTCCTATCCTTCCCTCTTCCCTCCTCCCTTCCTCCACCGTTCCCTCCCTCTCTCCTCCACCTCCACCTCCACCCTTACTCCACCCCTTCCTCCTCTCTCCTCCACCTCCACCCTTCCCTCTCTCCTCCACCTCCACTCTCTCCACCTCCACCCTTCCCTCCTCCCTCTCACCTCCACCTTTCCTTCCCTCTCTCCTTACCTCCACCCTTTCCTCCACCCTTCCCTCCCTCTCCCTCCACCTCCACTTTCCCACCCTTCCCTCCACCTCTCCTCCCTCCACCTCTCCAGCCATCAGCCGTGTGGAAGCCGGAAGTGGACCTGGACAACGCCATCTTCCCCGACATCCACCGAACACCTCCTGTGATCAGCGCCCTCAGGATGTCTCCTTCTGAGCCGGATGACGCGCCGTCGCCGTCAATGGTAAGGGGAGGAGGAGAAGAGGCGAGAAGGGGAGGGGGGGGGGGTAGGTATGGAGAAGGAAGGGTGGAAGGGTGGGGAGGAGAGGAGGAGAGAATGAGAAAGAAGGAAGGTGAGAGATGAGAGGAAGGGAAGGGTGGAGGAAGGAGGAGGTGGTAAGGGTGGTAGGGTGAAGGGAGGAAGAGTGAAAGGGATGAGGAGGGAGGAAAGGTGAAGGGTGAGGAGGAGGAAAGGGTGGAAGGTGAGGAGGGGGAGAAAGGGTGGAAGGGTGAGGAGGAAACGGAGGAAGGAAAGGGTGGAAAGGTGGAAGATGAGGAGGATGAAAGGGTGAGAAGAAGGAAAGATGAAGGGTGAGGTGATAGTGAGAGGGTGAAAAAGCTGGATAGGTGTGATGAGTGAGAAAGGGTTGAAGGAGAATGAGACGAATCAGAAGGAAAGGGAGGAAGGGTGAGTAAGAGTAAGGGTGATAAGTGGAAGGGAGAAAATGATGAAAAGGTTGAGAAGAGTAGAAGGATGAGATGAGTGAGGAGGCGGAAGGTGAAGGGTGATAAGTGAAAGAGAGAGAAAGAGATGAAGGGGTGAAAAGGATAAGAAAAGGTTGAAGGTGAGAGGAAGAAAAGGGTAAGAAGAACGGACGAATGGTGGGATAACAACGAAAACAAAATCCAAAACAACAGACAACAATAATTCTCTTTCTTTGATTCCTTTCTTCATTCCGCTTTCTCCTCCTCCTTCCCCTCCTTCTGCTTCTTCTTCCCCTTCCCTCCTCCTCCTTCCTCTTCCTCCCCCTCCCTCTCCTCCCCCTCTCCTTCTCCCTCCGCCTCCTCCTCTCCTCCTCCTCCCCCCCTTCTACATCTTCATCTTCTTCTTCCCCTTCCCTCCTCCTCCTTCCACTTCTTCCCCTTCTCCTCCCCCTCCTCCTCCTCCTTCCTCCTCCTCCTCCTTCCCCCTCTCCCCTCCTCCCCTCCTCCTTCCTCCTCCTTCCCCTCCTTCTCCTTCTCCTCCTTCTTCAGACGAGATGTACGAAGGCTCAAAACCCCCCTGAGCTTCAGCCAGAAGATCAAGGCCCCCTTCTCGTGCAACATGGAGCTCCAGATGTTCCCCTTCGACACCCAGCACTGCCAGATGCAACTCAGGATCGCGTCGATGAGGAAACTTCTGCGGTGGAGGAAGCTGGAGGTGGTGTACGAGGGAGAGGTGAGAGATGAGATGGAAGGGGGAAAGGGGAAGGAGGAAGGAGGAGAGGAAGAGGGAGGAGATGAGGGAAGCGGGAGGGGAGGAAGCTGGAGGTTGGTGTACGAGGGGAGTGAGAGAAGAGGGGAGGGAAGTGGGGAAGGGAGGAGGAGGAGGTGGAGAAGAGGGAGGGTGAGAGAGAGGGGGGGAAGGCGGAAGGGAGGAAGGAGTAGGAGGTGGAAGGAAGAGGGAGGGAGAGGTGGAGAGAGAGGGGGAAGGGGGAGGGAGGAAGCTGGAGGTGGTGTAACGAGGAAGGGTGAGAAGAAGAGGGGAAAATGGAGGATAGAAAGAGAAATATGGGGGTGTAAGAAGGAGAGGTGAGAGAAGAGGGGGGGAAGGGAGATGGAAGAAGGAGGAAAGAAAATAGGAAAAGGCGTGAAAAAAGAGGAAGGATGATAAAATAAATACATATAAAGAAGAAAGAAAAAAAAAGAAAAGGGAAGAAAGGGGGGGAAAAGGTGAATTGATGGTGTTACGAAGAGAGGTGAGAGAGGAAGGAGGAGAAGGGGGAAGGGATGAAAGGGCGAAGACATGGAGGATAGAAAAGTGAAATTTTTGTTTACGTAGGAGAGGTGAGAGGGTTAGATAAAGAGAATATAAAAAAATGGAGTTAAAAAGAGAGAAATTTAAAAAAGAAAAGGAGGAAATGAAGGGGAAACTAGACAGGATTAGGTCACAAAAAAAACGAGAAAAAAAAAATATATAAAAAATGGTCCACAGAATCCTTCTGCGTCACCCAAAACGACAGAAAAAAAACAACAAGAATATAGTATATAAGAACCCGCCCCCTCACCCCCAGTCACGACCGCCGAGTACGTGGTGGCCGCATCATGACCATCGACCACCGTAGCACCAACAACTACAGCGTCGCCGTCGTGGGCTTCGTCTTCTCCCGCCAGTACAGCTACTACATGACCTCCGCCTTCCTGCCGTCCATCATGCTGATGCTCGTGGGATACGCGTCCCTCTTCTGCAAGCGCGAGAACCGGGACCTCCGGGTGATGATGTCCCTGACGACGCTGCTGGTGCTCTACTCGCTCTACCAGCAGGTCGAGGACGGGCTCCCCTCGACGTCGTACACGAAGGCGATCGACGTCTGGTTCTTCTTCGCGATCTCTTTCATCTTCGCGCAGGTTTGGGTTGATTTTTGTTGTTCGTTTATTTGGGGTTTGTGGTTTTTTTTATTGTTTATATGTCACGCAGGTTGTTGTTTATCGTTGTTTATTTGCATGGAGGTTTGTGTTGATTTTTATTGTTTATATCCACGCAGGTTTGTGTTAATCGTTGTTTATTTGCATGGAGGTTTGTGTTGATTTTTGTTGTTTATATCCACGCAGGTTTGTGTTAATTTGTTTATTTGCTTGTGATTTTTTGTTGTTATTTGCATTTGTGTTGATTTTTCTGTTTGATTTTTTATTGTTATATCACGCAAGTTTGTTGGTAATTTTTTTTTTCATTTTGTTGATTCATGTTGTATGCAGGTTTTTAATAATAGATAAGATAGATAAAATAGATAGAATAGATAGATTTGTAAATTAGAAAGATAGAAGATTAGACTAGGTAGCATAAAATACGAAAGATAAATAAAGATAGGTAGATAGATAGTAAGATAGAAAGATAGATAGATAAATAAAGATAGGATAGAGAAAAAAAGGAGATAGAATAGAAGGTAGATAGATTAGTAGAAATGATAGATAGAAGATAAAAGATAGATTGATAGACAGAGAGAAAGAGAGAATATAGATAGAAAGATAGAAGAGAGAGGAGAAAAGAGAATAGAAATAAAGAGAAAGAGAAAGCGAAAACAGAAAAGCTAAAAGAGAGAAAAAAAAAAAAAAAAAAAAAAAAACACCTTAATTAACCCCAACTAACCCTTCCCCCTCCAGGTGATCCTCCACGTGGCCATCGACGTGCGCGTGCCCCTCCCGACGCGGTTCCCGAAGCCCACGACGGTCTTGCCCATCAACGAGATCCCCAGCAAAGATGTTCCCTCGAGGTCCTGCTGGAGGCCCCTGATAGCGGCGCGGGTTCTTCTTCGCCGTCGTCTTCGCCCTCTTCATGGCCGTCTTCTGGATGGTGGTGCTGAAGTTTAATGACGGCGAGGGGAATATCTTGGGGTTGTAATGTTTTTTTTTTTTTTTTTTTTTTTTTGGGGGGGGTTGGAGAGAGTGGAAGGGGGGTGGAGGGGGAGGGGGGAGTGTGGAGGAGGAGGGGTGAGGGTGGTAGGGGATGTGGTAGAGGGGAGAGAGTGGAGGGTGGAGGGGGTGGAGGGGGTGGGGGTGAGAGAGTGGAGGGGTAGGAGAGGTAGGAGAGGTGGAGGGGTGGAGGGTAGAGGGGGTGGGGTGGGGTGAGAGAGTGGAGGGTGGAGGGTGGGGGGAGAGAGGAGTGCTGGAGGGGTGGGTGAGAGAGTGAGGGGTAGAGGGGTGGGAGTGGGGTGGAGAGAGTGGAGGGGTGGAGGGGGAGAGAGTGGAGGAGATGGAGGGTGGAGAGAGTGGAGGGGTAAAGGGGGAGGAGGTGGGTGTGAGGAGTGGAAGGGTGGATTAGTGGATGTCCTGGAGGAGGTTGACAGGTGGATGGGGGTTCAGGAGTGGATAGAGAGAGTGGAGGTTGGGAAGTTGATTTGAGGACGAGGTTGAAACTCTTGGAAGACAAATTGAAGTTGAAGTTTGAAATCTGACAACTGATTTGAGGTTAAAATGTTTAATTCTTGGAGGTCAATTGAGGTGTGGTATCTGGCGGTGAAGTTCCAACTGCTGAGAATGAAGTTAGGAAGTTCCTGCTCTTGAAAGCGAATCAGATGAAGTTTTAACTGTTAGGAAAACGGACGATGAAGTTGCATGGATATTGGATTTTTTTTTTTTTTTTTATAGCTTTATTTTCTCTTTTCATCAGAGAAGTTGTATAGCTCTTAAAAGAAAGCAATATGTGTCTAATGTACAATTATGATACAAAACATGGCTATCAGGGTTAAGAAAGCGTTATAATTGGTGATAAATGAACTTTCCAAATACTCTGTATTCAAGAAGCTATATAAAAAATGTTTCTTTTTATTGAAGATATATAATCAACTTTGGTTCTGTATATCACGTTGTCATAATGTAAGAGGAGAGTATGTAGAGTATGTTTATATAAAGGAATGATTGTATTTTTTAGTTACCAGAATGTTATATCAACATGATATAATTTGCCAAAAGGTGGTGGTAGAATTCAAGTCCTATGGATTATTATTTTTTACTTTAACTAATAAAGAAAGAGAGTGTTTAGAATATGGATAATTCACTCAAATGTTATATATACAATAAACAATGTGGTCCTTTATATGTATTGGTTTTATTCTCCGCAAATCCATAATTTCTCTGAATTTGCTTTTTTTTTTTTTTTTTTTTTTTTTTTTTGTAGAGGAATTCTCCAAAATTTATATCAACAACGGATGGAGTTTTTGAATTAAGATTGATATTCATTGATCTGTTTATTGTGATTATTTATGTGGTATTGAATTATCATCTACTGTAAATATTATTTCAGTATGTCTTCGTCTGACTCTTTCTATCTATCTATCTATCTAGATATATCTCTCTTTCATAGAGACAAAAAGATACAGATAAATAGATAGAGAGATAAAACAGAGAGAGAGAGAGAGAGAGAGATAAAAGAGAGAGATAGAGACGAAGATAGAGAAAGAGATAGAGAATGATAAAGACTGACTATAAACACATGAAACAAAACCAAAACGGTCTCTACCACTATGACGTCATAAACAAGTAATACATACTCCCTTATGCCCAGAGACCACAAACACAAAACAAAAAAAATAATAAATAATAAATAAATAAAAAAAAAAAAAATAATAAAGATAAAGATAAAAATACATCTATACTTCCGGGACGAGAAAGTAATATAACCGAAATAAAACTCCAGACGCCAGACATTGACCTTGTTACCTACAGAGATAATTAGCCAGACTATATGGGGGGGGGTGAGTAGGAGAGAGAAGGGGAGGTAGGGGGAGAAGAGGGGAGGAGGTGGGTGGGGAAGGGAGGAGGGTGGGTGGGGAAGAGGGGAGAAAGGGTGGATGAGAAGAAAGAGGGTAGATGGGAGAAAAGGGGAGAATGATAAGAAATAAGTAGAGAGAAGAGGAGAAAGGTAAGGGAAAATG